TACTGCTTGTTGGAATATCCCAGTAAGGCTTACTAAGTGCAGTTACTTACTTTTGATTCCATAATAAGAGAAACGTTCACCAAATTCAGTTATCAGAATCGGCCAAGTTGCGTTGGGGAATTTAGTGAACCAGTTCTGAGCAGAAAAAAGAAAAGACTAGTTTAGTGTCATGAGAAAGCAATCAAAAACAGGGGGGTCACCAAGAGGCGAATTAGAAAAAAGGCTGTAGCAGTTGTGGTAACAACTTAATTAAACAGCGGGTCATACCACGGTTGAATTTAAACTTTTACATTGGTATTTCGTTATTTTCATCATGATGATTGTCTGTTACAAGAAAAGCAAGTACAAAAAATGACTACAATCTCTCTTCCCACAGAGGCTGCACTCTCTCTTTTCTTCTCTCTGGTTGCTGTGGAGAGGGGCGGCAAGAAGAGAGATGTGGGAACGAGTTTACTACGACCTTGTGTTGGAAGGGTTTGGGATCATCCGATGTTCTTCAGAAATTTGAAGCTGTCTGGCTGAGTAGAATTGAATTGCAAGGTATTCTTGTTGTTATATAAAAATATCAGCATATGTGGCGAGGGAACTGAGTACGAAACTAAAGAAACTAAATAGAACCTTGGTTTTAGTGCAGCAATTTCCCGCATGATCCTCATCTTCGGCAACTGAAAAAAATAACGTAGAAAAAAGTATTTACGATGTTACTAACATCCATACGTTGATAGCATATTCTAGTTGTCCACTGTGTTCTAGTCTCAGAGCTTTTCTCTATTTCCCTGCCAAATCTGACAGCAGCGAGACTGGAAAACAGCTCAGCAGCTGCCGGTAACTTCTTTCGTGACGGTAAGAAAGAGACCTTAACCTAGACTAGCCAATAAAATTCGCTAGTGACCCATCCCAGACTAACCTGTGAATACAGCCGCCTCTCGTACCTCCCCTGCACGGTTTGGCGTCTCGTTTGGCCCTCTATTGCAAAGCGTCAAATTAGACGGGAGCGACAGAGGCAGTTTGATCCCAGGCTTTCTCTCTCCTTTGCCTCCCTTGTTGTTCAGTCAAGGAAGGCAGAGGAGAGAGAGCCTGCGTCGAGGTCGTCACTATTGCATCCAGTGAGCTGCTATTAAAGTTAAAAGATAATTTCCAGTCCGTGCACTTCGCAGGCTCAGCACCCCGATGTTCGTGAGTCTCACACGATGGAGTGCGAATCATTCGTTACGAACCGCTTACCTTATCTATGAGGCAATCTGAATTGTTTCTCCAACAGCTTTTTTGATTTTTGCAGCTAGAATCGAGTGATCTGAGAAAGAACGAAGCATAAAGCTTCGCACCTTTTTTAGCGGTTGATATGAAACATTAAGGACTTCTTCGTTTCTGAGGACTTCAGGTAAGTGGTTTCGAAATGTTACAAAAAATTTGTGAGGTCTTTTAATAAATTAAACCAAAAACGGTAAGAAAACTCTCGAGACTGCGCAGTACGGACTGGAAATCATCTTTGACGTCACGTTTGGTATTTCCACTTTTGTGCGAAGTCCTGGTCTAGCGGAGTAGTTTCCCACTAAAACTTATCAGTTTCCCAGTGAATGACAGGCCATTCAACCCCTTTAAAACCCTGCCCTTCACATACCTTAGGCAAGGGGTACCTAATCCTGTATTGCGTGTCTCTACAGTAAAGTATTCTCATTCGTGTAATAATAAAGAGTGCAAAGGAAACTAACGTTACTGCAAATTCCGCCAGACTATGGGGAGAGGACTTCGTGGGGTTCGGGCTGACCCCCTAAATTAAACAAAAATGAGACATTATAACACGTTGACTTGGCCTCAGAACGCTGCAAATCCCGTTTCTGAGGACCTCTAACCATTTCCCCCGGGACGATGCCCCACGTACCCCCTACAGGGAAATCCACTGGCCAACGCTAATCAAACAGCGGCAGTCAAAAGTGCAGCTGTAAAAGTGTTTTTCCAGACAACTAATTTGATCGTAGATACGTTACCGTGGAATCTTGTAAAAACAAGAATATACACAGGAAAAAATTTTCCTAATGGTTTCCGCGCGTTACAAGGTTAGCAATTGTTGTGTGACAAATCAAGAAGGTCCTACGCGTTGGCGGTATGACAAAAATTTCACACTTTGGTGTCGAATCCCTAAGAATGAAAAAAGGAATTAGAAACACTTATGAACGAAAAGTAAAAGAAGATGTTTTTATTCTGGGCCGTGCACCATTCTCCTTAGCCTGCTAGCAGATATTTCATTTTCGACAAATTTCTGCAGCGCAGCTGTCGACATCCTTGCAAGTATAAAAAGCATGAAGCCCAAAATTTTACAAATATGCAAAGAACGAGTGGGATAAGAGCCTTCTTAGCTGGCGGGATTAAGCGCCGTGTGAGTGCTGTGTTTTGGTAAACTCCGGCTCGCTCGCGCGCGAGATCCCGCAGGCTGCGAGGTCTACAGGTTCGATTTCGACAGAAATCTTGTTTAGTTTAATCTCTATGCGTTCGGGTATCTAATAAACAAAAGAGAGATCTAGTAAGGTCATGACTTTCAATTACACATTTCTGCTCGAGATAGGATTGAAGGATAGAAACTTGATGACATTTGATAGGTAATGTTGGGATGAAAGGCATACCGTCTCTGATAAATATTTTTCAGGTCCTCTCCCAACATCAAGTCTCAAAATAACCAAACTCCTCTAAAGAGGCTATGCCTTCTTCATACCATTTCGCCTTTTATTGCTGCTATTGGCATAAATTGTTTCGTCTTTTGAACATATGAAAAGAAGAAAGCTTTAATGGGCCGGGCGCGAGAGGTCATTGTGTTAATTACTGACTGATTGTTGTACAAGGTTGTACCGGGAACGGTGTAAATCTCAGCCTAAGAAACTAAAACCAACGAAAATAGAGTCAAAATAAAATGACAAAGGCCCTAAGATTGCGACAAAAGACAAAACAAACAAGACTGGATCATGTTTATACATTTTAGGGTCACCTTGCAACACTGAAATTTGCCTTGACTACCTAACCTTGTTGTTACCGGCTCAGTGCAAATTTAGAATCAAAAATGTTAACCGTGGTTTAATAATTGGTTTGTTCAAACATGGCTCTTTGGTGAAATCAGCTGTATTTCTATTCAAAAACAAAGCAAACGAAATATTAAGTATAACAATAAGCGAAAAAATACAACCGCAGTTTTCAAAGGTTTGCAAAAAAGCGACATTTAATGACCTAACCTTTAACAGGGTCGCAATTTTTTAAATTGCAATTGAGAGACAAAAGCGTCAATGTACTCTCTAAAAAAACAAATTTGGTGAAAATAGTTTCGTTGTGCAGCTCTGCTACCAAAGACGGTATCTTTGACAATAGCGGACCGTTTGTATACTAAATTTTATTATACAAATGTCTGACAGAACATCGGCAGCTGTAACATCAAAAGGGATTCGGCGCGCCCGTGAACTGAACTGGGTAGCTCCTGTATTCAACCAGGCAGGATATTTCCAGGAAGATTGCTGTTGTTGTTATTAAAACAATCTATAAAAGTGAGCGCGCGATCCGAAATCTTTTATGATCAATATTGTTCGATATGATCACGCTAGGCGCAGCCGAACAGTTGTGAAAAGCTTTTAAGAAACTTGCCCGCGAATTCCAACTGTTGTAGATTGCACAGGTTTGCGCACTGAGCTGGGACACAAATTGCTACTTTAAGACGGACAGAACGAGGAGTAAACGGTAACCGACTAACGAAAAGGAGAGGAAAGATGTAAAATAACCCCAGTGCATTTGGAGACGTACCCTGCACTTGCCGGCTAGTACTCAAACAATCTTCTATTGCAATCATAGCAACAGTTTTTCACTTACTTGCTGGCTCATACTTGATATTGCTTTCCGAGCGGTCTCGTATCCCAGCCATCGTTCTTCGCTTTCCAACAAGAAATCAAAATTTGTATTTCACAAATACTCTATCTCACGTTCAGGACCTAAACTGAAGGGGTGTCTACTCGTGTTTGTTTCGGTAAAAGATCTCTCCGAATTTTCATTGTCCTCAATTGACAGTCGGTGTCAATTGACCGGTCGAATGTCCAATCACGTAAAGAAAATTGAAAATCCATTTGAAAGATAGCCAGACCCAGACCGTTCATTTCGAGGTACATTTCACCCGCGCATTTCACCGTCTCCGTATTCAATCTTGAAAATCTTAGTATCCGCTGCTAGCAGAGTCTGCTTGATTTGAGATAGGTTTATTACACAATCAAAGAGGGATAATTTACACTTGTAGATAGAATCCGATGTTTATTATTGCACTGACGTCTGTTTATTGTTTGATTTTATCGTTGCTTGTCAGTCATAAACTCATAATTCATTCCTAGCCCCCTAGGAGGTGGAGTATATTGAGGGGGGAGGGGGTGGGGGTGAGGGGAAGGGACCTTTATAGTCCTTTGTAAAGGATCGACCCTACTTTTTCATTATAAGATTCTACAAATGAACTTTCCTCGTCTGGCACATCGAGAACATCGTTCTAGGTGTCGAATTTTAAATCGCAAGATACGAAAATAAATATTTGGCTTATATATTTCATATCAAGGGTTTTTTTCGGACGTCGGGTGTATTTTTGGGTGTGAGGGTGGGAGGGTAGGGAAAAATCTTGCAATTGAAAGTGTGCATGGTCCGGCTTGTAGTTAAGCCTAAATTATAGATTTTGGTTGCATCAAAAGAACATTTTGGTGCACGTTCGAGTGATCCTTCCCCTCTTTTTTTCTTTCAAATTTTGTCATCGGTCATCGGAGCGCGCCTCTCTCTAACGCCGCCGACAGGAGCGCCTCGAAATAGAAAATTACGTAACCAGGGCTCTTGTGAATCGTATTCATAAAGGATTGTTAATTTCGCTTAGCTATAGCTTCGAAAAGCCATTCCGATGCATAAAAATATTTTCCATTAAGGAGGCGTCTCTCCCGCCTCACCCCTACTCTCCCCTCCACCACTCCCAAGGCCAAGCACTCTCTTCACTGATACAATATCGGTATAGGTCAGGAATAGCTGTTATTTCAGGGCGTCGAGAAAACGCGATAACCATTGTGTTGTAAAATAAACAATATAAGGCAAGGCGCAATACCTTGCAATACTAAATTAAACCATGAAACGAAAAGAACCATTGTCAATCTCATACCAGATTTTTTCCAATTTGGCGACTTCGATGGCGCGATTCCATCGCTTAGAACTCCTGCCGGCAAACAAGACACAGATCCATTAGCTTCTCTCGATGTGACAGAGCCGTCACAATTGTCGCGAGTTCCAAGGACTGCAACAAGTGGTTCGTGTTCCGTTCGCGGCATTGACGCAAAATCTCGCTCTCTGCTAATAATTTCTTAGCTACAGGCCACACATAATATGCAGATATCACTTTGAACAGATAAAACATTAAGTCCAGTCGCCACGGGTTCCTTGGCTATTCAGTTTGCTCTGCGAGACACACGTCACTTAGAATAAGACTAACATAAACAACTGTTATCCCTTTCCAAATACACGGTTGCAACACGTTTAGAAAGATCCTATATAAATTAACTGAAGGAGTATTTGCGCTTGACATTCCAAAATATCGAAGGCCATTCACTCTAGCAAAAAGATCCAAGAAAACACACAAAAAAGCAAAAACAAAACAAATAAACAAAACTAGGCTCGATTTCCACCGCGGCTGGTAATCAAGCCTGATACAGCATACAGTAGGTAGTTTTCCTCTACAATTGACCGTTTCCTACCCAGGGGGTCGGGGGGGTGGGGAGTGGGCAAGGAACTACCATGTAGAAATCATGGGGTGCCCGTTGTACCTTTCATGGGCAAAAACGCGGTAAAAACGCGGTAAAAACGCGGTTTTGGTACCTCTTAGGGTGTTGCGCCTCAAAAGGTTCCCAGCGGCAGCTTTCCAGGTTCCTTTTAGGGTATTGAGCCGAAAAAAAAAAAGACAGGTGATGTGTTATGTAAGAATTGGTTCCAGTTAGGTAAGATAAAAATTTCAAGCCACGCCCACAAAACAGGATCTCGGTACCTCCTAGGAGTTCTTTTCAAAATTTCCGACGAGCAGCCCCATCTATTTGACATGAGAATCCCCCTCCCCCCTCGGGGTTTCCTATCGTTTTATATCAGCGGCTTTGCACATTTAAAACTTTTTCTTGCAAAAAAACATAGTCGCTGAGGTCAATTCTAGAGTTTTATTTCGTTCATTAATAAGCTTCTGAAAGCCTTTAGCAAGAAAAAAGTCAGTAAAAGGTGACAGACAGCAGAATTTAATTCCACGACACATGGAAGTCTAATAATGGAATAGTAACTCAACTAAGTAATTTAGTAAGTTTAACTTATCAAATAGAGAAATTTGCAATATTATCTAGCCCGCAATTGTGGCAATATACAGGGCAATATTTAATTTATGTTACGGTAGTTTGTTTTATTCCTCGTGATTGGAGATTTTAAAATTGCCCACGAGTTTCCACACAGGACGAATCTCGGAGAATTCTTCTCTAACCACTTCCTCCTTTCCCAAAAACAGGCAAACAACGATAGCATTTGGCTTGTCCCATTCAATTTGCTAGCTTACTTAGTTTTCAACCAACATGCTGGAGGGACGACATAGCAACGCGCGCGCGAGAATGGTTCTCTGTTCACGTGATAGTCAGGCGATTATCACGTGTTTGCAGCGCTTTTGTCATAAGCGGTGATGAGTCCTTTGATGTAAGACAGTTTAGTATGTAGCTCGAGACATCGTGCCTTCGTCTGTTGCCACAAAGGATCCTAGTAAAAAGAAATAAGTTGATGGTCAGTTCTGGAAGCTCTCTTGATTTCTTAGGTCTTTGCAGCCGTTACTGGGGAGAAGCGTTGCGTGACGACGCACATAACAGGTGTCACGAAGACTATTATATTGCAAGCTCCGTGAGCAAGCAACAGGAACCGAATCCTGCGCTGTGATTGGCTACCCAAGCTGGCAAGATGGCACTATCTTGCCCGTTCGGGATTACCCGCCGTGTCCCGCAAGAAAATGGTGTCCTTTTTCCATAAAATAATTGTTTATTAGCCGAGCTTGTTCCGTCAAGATGGCTAGATATTGAGCCTTTTGCGTGTTTATGGACTTCGACTTCGTCTCGGTCCATAGACACGCAAAAAGAAAAAGAACTTACTCAATATCAAGCCAGCTCACCTGACGCCTCGCATCTCCTTTCTTAGTCTCTAACTCAATCGTTAGGCTCTCCTAGTATCAAATTCGACCAATGGCAGCCCCGGTTCCATATATCAGGACCGAAAGGCACTAAAATTCGTCGAGTTCACCAATCAAAAATTCTGTATTATCAGCGCAGACAACAAATGATCGTACAGCTTGATATTAAAGCGAACCGATTGACAACCGCAGAAAAACAAAGAGCAAGAAAGTTGCTCCCATTTGAACCTTCAAATCCTCCCCGAAACCTACAAAAAAGTAGACATAAAGTATACACTTCGAGCTCTCTCCATTAAATGGGTCACTGTTTATTTATTATCCTAGCATAACATTTAGAGAGCTTTGCTCGCTACTCTGCGGAAAACCATGCTACCATAATGTGAACAACCAAGCTGTTATTCGTATTCCAAAAGTTTGGGATGCGAAGGAGACCCGACGATCTTTGGTCTGTGGTCTCTCGCTCGTTTTTTCGTCCTCCTCCTTAACTAACACAACGCCTGGAACAGACTAGTAGGTTGAAGAACAAAAACCAAAAGATGTAGAGGATATTACATGGCCGTGGGGAGATACGAAATTTCTCTTCGAGTGTGTTCTCAAAAGTTGTCCGAAGGCCAGACGAATGCTTCCGAACATTTTCCGACAATTTCCAAAGATTGCCGAAGAGTTCCGAAAAAGATCCGAAGATGTTTCGATCAGCATACATGAACAAATTTAAGTGCAGTTCAGGGACAAAAATGATATCAAAAATTATATAACACGAGTGGATAAAAATGATATCCTCACATGTGGGGGATTGCTTTTATCGATTTACTACCACTTGCACTAGGTATACCACTAAATTTTTATACAATAAACGCTGATAATGCATTAAACACCGATAAAGCATTACACACCGATAAAGCATTAGTTCGTACTACATTCTCACCTTCTTAACCTTGACATAAAGCTCTTGAATTTCTTTGTCTATGGCCTTAATAAGAGAAGAACAGAATGATAAGAGTAAAACCTCCAATGTAAGAGTCGAATACGAGGGTCTGCATGTATGGGGTTCAAATTACAGTTGCCGGAGATTTGATCAAACTTTGAACTGTGAGCTGAGAAAAGAAGCGGTTTTGAACTAATAGCTGTGATCTGAGATCTGCCAAATTCACTGACAGCTGGGGAGTCGTCGAAACTATATTTTACCACAATTGTTACTAATCTCGCAATCTGATTGGCTAATTTGCTGTTGTCGACAAGAGTCCAGACAACGCTGCTCCCGTCAATGTGTCACGCTCTTGGTCACGCTCTAAAAAAACATTTTCTTTGACGTTGATATTGTGGTAAAAAATAAATCGAATGTAGTTTAGCGTTGTCTGTACTCTTATCGACAACGATATGCGCCATCACAGTGGTCAAAATTTGTTGTGGACTCACGAGGCGTAGCCGAGTGACTCCACAACATTTTGACCCACCACTGTGATGACGCATATTGTTGTCCATAAGAGTACAGACAACGCTGATCCACATTCGATTTGTTAAACTGACAACTGATATTGCAGCACCCCATCCATACGGGCGCCCTCGAACAACATACAGTAGCTACCGTGACAGAAGGGAGGCATGTACTATACAATGACCGCCGTACTGCATTACGGTGATTACCCCAACCGACATGCAAGAATCTTCCGTCACACACTAAAATCTTGAGTGACTGTGGCTACACAAGCAAAACTCTCGATAAAGTTGTTCAAAGGAGGGGGGAGGGGNGGGGGTACAAAGTAAATCACGATCCCATGGTAAGGGACCCCAACTACACAGAAACGCAAACGGAAACAGAAATACTCTTTCCTCCAGACCAGGTCCGTGCTCCCTATCCTCCCTGGAAATAAGCCAAATTCTTGAAACTATGATTTGGAAGCTGTATTTGTCTGGCAGCAGTCAAATGATACAGTGTAATTAGTTGCATTGCGATTTAATGCGACCATAATTTTACTTTCGCCCTACAGTATCATTATTTGGGTAGTTAGTAACATACAGTACATAAACGGAACTTTAAATTTCGTGTGTTACACGTCCGCTCTCTCTGAAACGACTGTGAATTACCTTACAAACGTTTTTTAAACGTCCAAAGGGACGGCTACGCGAAAGTAACGGCCCGCCGGGGCGGATCTAGCGAGGGGAGGGGTTTCGGTCGAACCTCCTAAATTAAAAAAAAAATATGAGACATTGTAACACGCTGACTGCTGGAAATCCCATTCTCGGGGGATTCGGGAAGGATGCCCCCGGAGCCCATTACAAGAGAACCACCTCCGAAAGTAGCGGTGGCTGTTACTTCCGGAATTATACGGTGTACAGTGCGGCTGCGCATATAAGGGGTACCCTATGCAAGTTGGAAACAAACCACGCCCAACCAGTTGGTAATCACAAATGTCAACAAAGACAACAAAAGTGGACAAGCAAACCTGTCTTTCTGTGCTTTTTTCAGGAAACTGAAGTCGTTTGCTTTGAAGGTCTGTAAACTTTATGGAGATAGGTTCTGTTTTCTCTTTCAGACCTATGTACTCTTCATACTCCTCTTGGAAATCCTTCTTGTACAAGCAACGCTGTTCGTAACTTGTAATTGGCTTGTACTTTCTAAAAAGAAAAAAGGACACTTGGCTTCTAGTCTGTCCACAGATGGTTAGTTTTTCCTACGCGTGTTTTCTTCGAGAGCGCGAACGATGCGCATGCGCGTGAGAAAGCGTGGAGCGAGAATAGTAATCTTTCCCGACGGATACCCCCTTGAGTTCCAGCTTCTTCAATTGCCCTGCGGTTAATAATTTTGCGTGCGGTCTTGACATACTCAAGACAAAACAGAGGGTTTGTGGACAGACCAGTTGGCTTCACAAGATTTTGCTGGTTGTGGCAAAGTGAGCATAAGAATTGTTCACAAAGACTAAGGGAGTGACTGCTGAAAAGAAATGTGTGCTTGCTGTGATTTCTGTGTTTTAAAATAACCAAGCAAGAGAATGTTATCCAGTCAGGCGCGAGACTAAGCTCACGTGACTTTTCCCGCGCTTTCTTTCTTTCTTTCTTTTACGTTTTTTCTGTGCTGTGACTTCAGCGCTGTCACAAATTAAAATTCCCTGGACTGAGTGAATTTGTCCATTTTTCTCTAAATAATTATTGATCAAAAGCAGATACCGTACCTCATAAATTCAGGAGAGTCCAAACCATTTACACCGTTTAATGATTTTTCTGTCAAAGCAATGTGAAAACAAGGAATATTCAGTGTAATCTAAATGTTTAGTATTTCACCTCCATGCATCCTTTAAGACTATAGACAGACCGTCTTCACTCGCGTGACCAGCAGCCATGCAAATTTATTGCAACAAAAAAATTCTTTACACAACAAAAGAGTTCAACTCCGACAAGATCGGTTTGGAACACCAACATGGCCGCCGTTTCATTGTCTGTTGCCCTGCAAAACTTTAAAACCTCTACTTTGATTCGTTCTTGTTAATCTACACCTCTTTTGTTCTCAGGCCTAAGGGCATTGCGTTTGTTCTTTATCTATTGTTTCGTTTGGCCAATTGTAAAGAAACTTGTAAATAGAGTGGGTCGCCCCTTCAATGTTTCGGGACACTAACTTGGCTGCCGTGGCGTCACGTGAAAACACTCGACACCAAGAAATCACCAATAGTAAAAGAAAAGCTTAAGTGTGAGGCACAGAGCCAAAGTTTATTAAGATCTTAGTTTGCAATCCGTGCAAATCTTCCCCAGTCTTAACCATTTTGGTTGCCACTGGCAGCCATGCTAGGCTAACCACCACAACCTGACTTTATTTCAAACTCAACAAAACAGTATAAAGTTACTGAAAACATCGGCATTACACAAATAGCAAGGTTTGTAGATAGTGGCCTATGCTCTGAAATGAAGTAGGTGGGCTTCAGATCAGAGGGTTTATTAAAGTACCAAAATTAAAACTTGGGGTGGGTGGGAAAAGGTCAGTAGTGGCATATGCAACAAAAACAACACCCTGTGCAAGGTCACATGACCAGGCCTCAGTGGTGCAAGAGAAAAACATTTTCCCCTTATAAAAAAATGAAATAATAAACAAATAGGAATTTGGGGTAGGATGTCCCATGGAGGGGCTCTTCATCGATGATTTCCAGATCAAATTGGAATTTAGAAGTGTTGGTTTTTGTGGAGGAAGGAAAACCAGAGATCCCAGAGAAAAAACCCTTGGAGAAGGATGAGAACTAACAAAAAACTCAACCCACTTATGACGCCGGGGCCAGGATTCGAACCCGGGCCACGATGGCAGGGGGCGAGCACTCTGACCACTGCACCATCCCAGCTCCCCATCCATGCTTCACTTATTTTGTTTCACTCAGCCAGTGAAAAATCAGTATACTTCAGATCAGAGCATCGAAAGTATTTATTTTTGTACACCACAAAAAATCACTTCAAACGTTTGGACTAACATATCTGTAGCTTCAATAAGCTGTAGCATCAAAACGAAATTACACTCGAAGGGCATAAAATTCCCCTTTTCCTCCTTTCCTTGACAACTACAATTACCATTTGGTGTTTTACTACACAGAAAAAAATTCTTTTATCTACACTCACACTAAGTCATCAGATGAGTGACGTGTTTTCTCGGAATTCTACGATTACAAAACCATCATGGCTATGATCATGTGCTTTAGCAAAAAACCTGTCAAGGTTACCTGTTGTACTGGATTCCACAACTTGTCTGTCCGGTAATGAGACAGGTTCTGTACTTTCAGTTAAGCTTGTCTTTGACAATTTAGATTTATCGGCACTATTGGGACTTTTCTGGTCAGGATCTTTGATTATATTGTTGTTGTTTTTGATATGAGAAATGCGCTGTCTCTTGGAAGATCTTTCAGCTTCACTGGGACAAATTCTTTTGTTTTTTTGCTTAGTTGCCTGGAAATAAGTTAGAATGACACAAATTAGCAAGATCGTCGTCATCATCATCATCATCATCATCATCAAAGTTATCTAAGTGTCGGGGTTATTTAGCTGCTGTAGGTGGCTAATTGGGGATCGAACGAGATCTATTCTGGACACATGATTGATGAATACAAGTCATCACTGTACACCATTTGGCTACATTGTGAAGTCACTTCTCATGCTTATGTTGTCATACATGTACTTCAGAATTTACATGTACTAGGTAATTCCCTCTTCATGTAATATATCAAATGCAAGAGACCTTTTTTACCATCAGTTGAGTAAGGCATGACAGAGCTTTGTTGACAAAGTTTTGGACTTACTATTATGGTGTTGCCACGGGCAACTTTCCTTGTTTCCAATGGTAACAATGCTGTCACCTGTAATTTTGCACACTTTTCTGCCACTGACTGAGACAGAGCAGTTTTCCCTGACAACACAAGTTGAACGTTAAAACCTAGTCACCAAATTTTCATTGTGCCTTACTCAACTGATAATCATAGTATCACGTTACCAAACATCAAGAAGACAGTTGAACACAAGATGCCCACCAGAGCATTTTGAACGAATGTCAAAGTGTTTGGAAATGTAGTAGCACAGTGTTTTGAGTGTTTGATATAACTTCTAAGTAAAATCTAAAGCCAAGGAGAAAACAGAAATTAAAAAAAAAACTATGCTAGTTAAGATCAGACATCCAAACACCATCACGATTATGGATTCCTTCCTTTCAACTTGATGAATCGTCGATGAGTTAGAGGTGAATTTTGGAATCAAAACATAAATTATTTTGCAAACACAAAAGGCCTGATTCAGTTTTAATAGGAGAACTAACCTACCTCAATACTTTTAGGTGGAGATGATGACGACGACGTCACTAAAGAGCTATCATTCATTTCCGACTTCTTTTTCCTGCAACAATACAACGTACAAAATGTAACAATAACATCAAGTTAACAAGTAACACCAATCCAACAGATTGTTGAAGAAAGGGATTTGAGGCTGTGGAATAGTCTTGTGGGCACTCCTTTGCATCCCTTGCAGGATCTTCTCCCACACATAAGAAGAGGGCCCTACACGATTGGTCGCATCCTTACCAGGTCCCACGTCTTAATACTGAAATGTTTAAGAAATGTTCTGTAACTAGATGTCTCCTTGATTTTAAATAGACTGTGTAGTTACAGAAAATATCCATACCCCCACCACAGAGGGAATTTCACGTGAGATACCCCACCTTCCCGGAATTTCCATTTTCTGGACGTAAAAGATCGAAGTGAAAAACAAACTAGGCTAGTCACCAGTGCTTTTCGGTCCATGAGGTGACTTCATGTAGATTGGTAACAAGTAATGGTGGCCATGTCCACAAAACAGCATGTTCTTCGCACTTGTCAGCGTCCAAAGTGTTTTTTTTGAAGAAACAAAATTTACTTCAAATATACATCTATACACTGTACATGTAATGCATTTCGAATCACAGTATTCATTCAAGTTACTATTTTTCAAGTGAAAGCTCCACTTAGTAGGTAACAAAGGATTTTTGAACAGCTAAGGATATCTGGAAACTAAATTGACCATTCAACACCCCTCCCCTCTGGAATCTCTTGAACCCCTCCCCCCTCCCCCCTTCAGAATTTCCCATTCCCTCCATGGTGTGGGTGTGGATATTTTCTGGAAGCACACATTGTTTTGTGAAGTTTTAGTGTTGGGACAGTTTTTAACTCTAAAAGTACTTTGTTACATGATTGTATAAGCTTTGGCTGTAATATACAGTCTGTGGTATCATTTGGGCCATAAAGGGGCTGATGCAACGTCAGTTCTCACTCCACTTATTCAATTTACAGGAGGAGGGGGAAGGAAAGTGGGCCCTTAACAGTAGCAGGTCCAGAGCGGCTTACAATGCGACAAGGGGCAAGGAGGGGGGGGGAGGTAGTAAGGAAGGACTATTTCATGCTTCAATGAGGAAGTGAGAGAAGTTTTGGTCCCCAAGATGACATCTCTCATCCCCCATTTAGCCCCACAGGACACCAAAGGCAAAACATTAGCCTTCCTTTGATCCTCAATGCTTCATCAAAGTAATTATTATAATATAAGATATTATCTTCCCAATTAATGTGCAGCATTGAAGCACGGACATACATGTAACATTATGCTTCTAACTGGATCAACAAATTATTATTTTGTGTTATTAACGTGCATCAACAGTTACAATACTGTGTAAATGTTATTTTTCACAAACATGGAAACAAACAGTCAATAATTTGATCATTACATTGGTTCATTACCGTACATACTGTCTCAAAAGATCATTAGAAAGCCAGAAAGCTTTTAACGACACATGGTCTTCAATGTGCCCAAAACCTAGCCCAGTGTGAATTCCCCATTTTTATTGCATTTTTGGCAAAAGTTAGTTTTTTAAAAATATCTGTAGGTGGCAACATTTTGGACATGAACATTCTTAAAACATTTTGGCACGCCTGGCTGTGGCAAAGACAGGAAGACTGTACATTTAATGTTTTTGATCATGAAACATCCCACAAATGCGCAGCTTGTACAATCATTCAATTCTTTATGTTGTTCAAGTGTCAGGTACATGAACCAACAGAAGGTACACATAATATTGGTACCATGTACATTTTGCACACATGAAATGTTTTTCATTGCCCTAATACAATAAGAGGAAAAGGAGTTTTCTTGACATGTCATTTATATTCCTGCCAATTTTTTTTGCAAGTCACAGACATGAGATTTTTAGCCTAGGAGTGCAAGGATTTCCAATGACCACATGAACATGTACAAAGATGTCTGCTGATTTCCAAGGGTGTTCTAAAGATTTTCAAAGATATTTCCAACATTTTCTGATTTTAAATATCACAAAATTTTCCCTTGAAAATCACTAATTGGGGGAAGAAGGGGAGGGAGAGGGATGTATACCATAATTTACATGAAATCTCATTGGTTCAAGTTTATATACACTGTAAATGTATTTTTGGAAAATGAGTCAGTTAAGGCTGCAGTATTGAAGCTCTTATTTTTCCAGCTACATGTAGGCATGGGAAATTGGTCAGTAGGCATGACTGAGCTCTAGATAGTAGTTTTTGACCTCTGGTGTGAGCCATGCCTACGTCATGAGAGTCGGTAGCTACAGTTTTAGCATTCTCACCTGCGCACAAGTTGTTTTTCAGCTTCACTGTAGTTTGGCCATGTTTCAACCTGACAAAAACACAGCACAAACAACAACATTAATGTCACAAACATTAACAATTATTAGTACAGTCATGTGTCAAGCAAGACAAATGCCTTTTTTGCCCACACTAGTCGTATGTAGCCTCTTCTCTGGAATAAGTTTCTCCCAAAGAAAGATCCAGTGTTTACTTGGGAGAGGCAGTGTGGCTGAGTGGTTAGGGCACCGGAATTGTAATCCGGAGGTTGTGGGTTGAAGTCCCACTCCAACAACTAAGCCCGAGTTGTTTCTCGGTAGACCCTAGTTCAACTCCTTGGTCATGCTTGTAAATATAGCCAACTGGTCTGCCTCCCACCAATTGGGATTTTTAAGCCTACTACTTTGTATGTTTAGTTGATAAATTTGTTTCTTTCAGTTTAAGTGGCACATTTGTGAAGTAGCTAGGTGTAGCTAAACGCATTGACCACTATAAACAACGACATTTGAACATTAAGTTTTGAACACTTTTGTACAAATATACATGTGTACAATGCACTTACAAAATACCTGGTCATAAAATCTTCCTTTTAAATATTGAGACCTCTCTTTTTGACAAATGTTTTTTTTTTTAAAGTGTTTTCCTTTTTGGTCTATAGGATGGAATGCAGATACATGTGCATATATGTCTTATTACCTTCGTATTCAAGAAAAGAAAGAAGTTTAACAACACAACATAAAGAGTACAGTCGTGTAACTTCTAGGATTGTTCAACATTTCTTACCTGAACCTCTGAATACAAATGTTTTAACAATCTGTATTGATTATCTGTCATAACAGCAACCTGTAAGAAAAACAATTTATACCACAATTTATTTAAGTCATGCTATTGGCGTAAAAGCGATCCACAAGGGTGAAAAGGTATCAATATATTCAGTGGCATCCAATAGGCTAAATGTCAGTGTTGTGGAAAGAAATGACAACAAGTGGTGTGTCTGAAGTCCTGTATATGTACATGACTGTTGTGTTATGCTTAAAATAAGGGCAGGAAAAACCACAGTTCCAGTTGCCTGGGGCTAGTTAATTTTGCTCTCGGCAAGTGAAAATGGAAGTTTGTCGGTACGGTGGGCAAGTGAAATTAGCCTCAGTAGTCTTATTAGTGATAATTTCCAATCAAAAACAATTTTAAAACTTAAGACTGCAAGATGAGCAAAACAATATGTTGAAAGCATGGATTAATTTTAAATCCAAGTATACTTTCGCATTCGTCCTCTGATTACTATATAGGCTGCCATATTGGCTGCCATGTTGGATGCCATGCACAACAGGAGTTTGGAACTACTAATAACGCACATGGTACAACTGTATATTCAAGATGGCTACGAAAAATGCCTATTGAGCAAGTAATATATTAGTGGGGGCAACTGCAAACTGAAATGTGCAACTGTACTTGCCCACTGGGGAACTGGATTTCAATTTTTTTTTCCTACCCCAAGGCTGTGGTCTAAGAAAAATTACAAGGAGCCCAAAAGTTCCTCACCACGAAATCCTGGTTGCCCAGCACTTAAGCTTATATGAAAAGAGTAAGTTGTTCCAGTTGCCCAAAGTCAAAAGTTAGTTGCCTGTGGCACCCAGGTACTTCTAGAGCCCAGCCCTGTGCCGTGAAAATGTATATAGTCATCAGGTCCTAACATTTCTTAGTACATACTGTATCAACTAAAATCATTGATCTTACGATGTGCTAAGTTAGGTTTGTCACTGATATCAAAAAAAGTCCAAACTCCCATAAGCTTCCTGATAACCAGAGTTGATGCTGGATATGCTAACAAGTAGAGTATCCACCCAGTGCCATGGGTTTCACTCCAGTTGTATGAAACTTTTTTCCAAGTAATGTAGCTCAGATCCTGAGCTCGGCGTTGTGACCATTGGGGAAGCCAATGTGACCAAATTTTTTTCACTGGTGACTAACATTTCACCGCAAAACTTTTGCTGGTGACTAAATCTGAAAACTTAGGGGCCAGTTGGTCTCAAAGTTTTTTCCTGAAAGTTGAGCCCTGAGATCACTGATTGAATATGTTAAATGTCCGACTCAATGTCACTATTTCCCTACAATAACAGATCCCCCTTACATAAGTTGCAGGACAAAATAGTTGAAGGCACATGTACATGTAGAGTGCTACGTAGCAACCACCAGCAAGCACCAGAATAAAGATTTGTGGGATTGTTTGGTAAACTGACATGAATAATTATTAGTGATCAGGGCTGTTCTCTAGAAGCACCCGGGTGCCATGGGCGACTAACTTTTGTCTTTGGGTGACTAGGAAAACTTACTTTTTCAAATTCTGTAAGCTTACACTGTAAGTGCTGGGCTCTCAGGATTCCATGGTTAGGTGCTTTTGGGCTCCTCATAATTTGTTTTAGACCACAGCCTAGGTGATAGTGACATCTAGTTGTCTTTGGATACTACATGTACACACCGAATGCAATATAGCAGACCAATCGGTCGGCTTGAGGCAAGTTGCACGAATGCGGGACTAGATTTCACTCCCTTCTGGTGGTGTTCAGAAACACAGCAACTTGCAGGCATAGCCAAATAGACTAGAAGATGACGAGGCAAGAATTTTCTGGGGACACATTGTTAAAACAACACACCCAGGTCTTACCAGCCTCACTTTCATGTAACTCGTCCCAAGCCAACTGAATGGTCCACCATATTTGCATTCAGTGTATGAACTGAACACATTCACACTTTAGAGACATCTTGCAGTCACTTGTGGGACTGTTACTGAGGAAACAACAAATGACGAGAAGTCATTGCCCCTAGTACCAGGTCCCACAAGGGACTGTGAGATGAGACTTGTTTCTAAAGTGGCTAAATCAATGAACATTATATTACATTAAACATGTAGAGTAGTAAAAGCTGAAAAACATGGATAAATTCTACACCATACACTGACTATACATTTACAGTGTACCTGTTGTAATATTGATGTCAATGAATTCCGGTCCTTTAAACTTACTCCATCTGTAAAATCAGCAAAAGCAGGATTTTATGTACATGTACCATCAAACAGACTTTCTAGAAAGGTCTGGTATAAAAGTACTTAGGTACTGCCTGTACTTCTTTTCAGTTTTTCTTATAATTATATACTACATGTAGCTACAGTAACTTGACAAGAACGAGCAATGTGAAGGCTGTCTGCTGAAATATTGTCACCATCACTTGTGTTGGCATGCTGGCACTGTTGTTACATCACTGTTACGTAGCGTGATGAACATTACAGTACAGTCAAGTGTGCATAAATACACGCACCTCTTACTAACCAAGTTTTAGGTCCATACTGTGAGTTACAAACCAAGTTTTTCATTCTTGAAATTTATGGCCCACACATAAAGCACACGGACCGTGAATCAAAGGGGAAAACAAAAGGATCTGTAACTTACAGTACAGTTCAAGAAGACATGGTTAGTGCTTAAGATCATTATAAAGCTACTGTCCATGTCTGATGGGTTCAAGAAACGCTTTCTATTCACATGGAATGGTTTTAAATGACTGATGCATGCAAAAAGCAAAACAAGCCAATTTGCAATCATTGTAAGTTTTTTTTTTTTAAATTTGCTCAAACAATTACAAGAATTACAATTAAACTTACACTACAGTTACCAAAAAAAAATTTAAAAAAAACAGTCTAAGGAGTATGTATCATTCTATGCGTTACAATCTACACATTACATACAACTAACTTACAGTATGCTACATACAATAAAATAATACAAATACAGACATGCACATGCACAGAAAATAATCAATCTTTGAAATCTGGAGTCACTAGAAATCCAGTAATTCAAGAGATCTTGTAAAAAGCATGTCTTACCTTTAGTAAGCTTAGATATCAATTCTGGTTTCTTGAAAGGTTTAACTGCTAACAAATGTATCACCCTGTCCCTGTGTACACACGAAAATACAAGTCACTAAATATTCCTAGCTTACCACAGGTCCAAAGGGGCGATGCAAAAATTAAAGTGACTGTCATTCAGTATCAATTAACACATGAACATGTAAATACAAGTGAAAAGAAGAAATTTCAACATCTTCTTATTAATATTTTGTTTTATACATCATTCAGCTTCAATGTCAAGTACAATAATACTGACAAAGTTCTTTTACTTGAAAAGGTACAAATATCGTATGATATTTGTACTAAGTACTACATGAATGATATTTGCACCACAGGAACTGGCCATTAAACAGGTTCACTAAGTAAAAATACATGTAATCACATAACAGACAAATCCTGATTTTAAAAAACCTTAGTTAATTTTTCTGAATTTCCTGATTACAGTGTATTTGAAACAATGTTTCTCTCCTATGGCAAAACCATTGGAAAAAATTCTGCTCACTCATTCCAGCCTCCTGATTTTTTTTACCAATTTCTATTCCCCTATTACTTTGTATACAGGAGGTTTGAAAAATCATTATTCCGCAACTGAACACTAATTTTGTAGTTCACTTAGTTTTCTTCTGACTAAACATCACATAAAACAAAGGTCAATGTCTGGTTTTTGAGTGAGACAGTTGCTGGATAAAATAAATCACGCTGGACATCCTCTGGCATTGCGCAACAGAATTGAGTGATGACAAATGACATCATCACCTCAAAAAATAAATAATCTGTTACGAGTCATTTTGTCTAAGTTTTGATGCCCTCCGTGACCTATGGGCTTGCAAAATTATTAGAACTTATACATGGACAGGAATAGTTAAGTGTAAGAGAAGAAAAGAAAAGAAGAAAGGGGAGGAGAGAAGAGGAAAGAAGACGGGAGGGGAGGGTAGATGAAGGGAGGGTGGGAAGGGATAAGAGGGGAGGGGAGGGGATGACAGCAGAAGGGAATCTGAGTGGGGAGGAGTGCATACAGGAGGAGTGGGGAGTGTAGGAGTGGGGAGGAAAGGGAAGGGGAGGACAGGACAGAAAAGGTGAGGGGAGGAGAGATGTACCTGAGAGTTTTGCTTGGTCCACTGGAAACCTTGGCCCTTGAACCAGATCTAATTTGAGCCAATACACTGTCATGCTTTTTGAAAATTTTTTTACTTCCTGAAAAACAAGAAAAAACACTTACATGTACCAATGAATTAATTTTATGGGAAAAATACCAAATTGAATTAAAATCTCTGTGATATTGACAAATTTAGCATGAGTATACCTTTCTTAGGGGCTGTATTTAACACTTTTGTGCTGAAAATTAAAGAAAATTTGTTAGTGTTCTACATGTATATGTATGTAAGAGCCATATCTCAGGTCAATGAAACAAAAGTGACAGTGACTTGACCCAGCAAATAAAATAGCAAATTTTATGTTTTATTTAAAAAGTTGCTTGAAATGGCAACATGCTTTTTTCAGTAAAAGCAATGATTGTTGTGTTGCTTTTAATGATGCACCAAGCTTTTATCTAGCATGTACTGTAGGTAAAAAAGTTTCATCCTACCGCACCATTTGGAAGCGCTATTTCTGATAGTATCATTTTATTTGAAACAGGCCACAGGACATATTTTTGTATTAAATGGATGAAATAAAACAAAATGGTAGGTAGCAATACTAATACTTTTAACGATACTTTAAATTATCTTCTAGGCTGAATGATGATTCAGTACAAAAAATTAGAAATTTCACAGTGTTGTGTGTAGTCTTTTCCACAGTGTACATGTACATGTAGTGTTGCTAAAATTCTGTGCCTGTTGAAAGTCCTCTATCTTTATTTATAAGCTAATTTCTTGAAACACAAATCATTTTAGTCAGGGTTGAATGAACCAAAACAAAATGTATAAATTATGTATGTAATGATTAAACGACTGCAACATTCAGCCAGCAAGAAAGAATTAGAAATTAGAAACCTTAGGAATTAGAAACCTTTAAATACCAGACTTTTATACCTACTTGTAAGGATATCTTAAGAAAATGCCATTAACTTCCTTTCACAAAGTAACAAAAGCATTCAAAAATAATCAAGCTCGTACATACTAAATGCATTTACTTAAATGTGCTCTAAGGCGATTCAAAATGCGGTCTAACACAGCAAAACCTGCATAGGGTAATACACACACATTTTTAACACACTATTAAATAAATGCAAATTTTAGCTTCCCTTACATGTATGTCTGAACAGTGCTGTATATATAAGGCAAGATCTCCCTCCTTGTTTTAATTGTTACTTTTAGTTCCAGTTTCATTCATGAGCAAAAAGGTATTAACTTTTACACACAAAATCTTTCTTTATTGATCTTTTCTCATGACCCCCAGACACAGAGCTGGAAAAGTGTTGAACCTTGCAATCCTAGTTTCTTAGTTTAGTGAAATTTAATAAGCCCTTTCCTAGTTGCTATGGCACATACATGTAGCAACCAATTTTAGGGCTAATATGGATGTGTGGCTTATCATTCTGGGCTACATGTATTTCACATGAAAACTGGGAGAAAGTCTGTAACCAGAAATGGTGCCCTTGTTTGAGTCAGAGACGTTCAAAGACTGGTACGGCGGGGAATCTGCGTCTACTCTAACTGGGCCACTTGGAAAAGAGAACAGTACTTGAAAACAACTTAGGATAGCAATCTTTTTCTCAAATAAACCAATAACATTGAAGAATACGAAATTAACAATAGATCTTAACAAAATTGAAATTGTTTTGATCCTAATCTTTGTACGCTTTTCAGCAGTTTTGGTTTAGTTGTCGCAAAATGAGTTTTCAAGCTAAATTTATCGAGTGAGATTTACAATTATAATGATAATTTGCTGCCAAGGATTGAATCTCTAAGAGATTAAATATAACACAGAGGAGTCAATAGTGTTAAATAATGTTTTCACATCAAACAGACCATTACTTGCCGTCACAAGAAGCTACCAGTCCTTTGTTCTCAGTTTCCATTTTGATTGGTTAGTTTTCTTCCGTGTGGCCTGGTTCAAGTGGTTGCACTGTAAGATTACCTTACTTTACTTCTACCATACCTAACTCCCTTTCTTTCTTCCTCTGCCTCTTTCATCCTTTGTTGAGTCATCTGATAACTGTCGTCGGTAGCTTTGACATTGATTTTATGAGTGATTGTTCCAACAGTTCTGATGTCGCTGCTGCCTCCAGGCTGCTGAATACAGTCCATAACACCTTGCCGTCCACCAGACTGAATTGCGGAGCAATCCAGCTGAAACTGTGCTGTGTTGTCATCTCCTGAATCAGCTTTTCTTAGTGGTATTGATATTGACTGCAATAATAAAAAAAGTTTCCAAAGTAGATTTTATTTGTCATAGATACATGTGGATGTAAATTCTAGGTACATGTTATTGGATTACAGATTGAAAGATCCAGGTTCAGCGCTGGCTGAGGTCATTGGGTTGTGTTTTTGATAAAGACACTTTCATATTTAGCTCAGATTATTAACCAAGCAGGAGGTCTGTATGGCAGAACCTTGACCAAGGTTGTGAGTACAGACCGAATGCAGTGAGACCTGTCTGCACACATGACCAAGGTCAAGACCGACTAAGCTTGGTTAACAAGATGTTTGTGTAGTAAACAAGAAAAATTTAATTGTCTTAATGTAACTGGTTTGTACTAGCTGACATTTTGCTTGTGAATGGTGATGAGCTGAACTTAAATCTACCAAAGTTTGCTCGTCCTCTTTACTCTTTTCTTTCTCATCAGCCTTTTTAGCTCTTCCATTAATTTTAGAAGAAAATAGTCAACATTTTTGTGTTTAAGTTTGCAACTTTTTCACCGCAAAATGTAAGCAATCTAGATGGGAAAATCTAGACCATGGTCAATGTCAATTTCAGCCACTCAAATTCGTGAATTTGGTAGTTCCCAGCCCTTGTGAGACACAGTTATAATATAGCTGTATTTTCTATTATTATATTATAATAATAGAAAATACAGGGAGATTTGAATTAATTTTTAAGGGAAGAGTAAATGTACATAACTGGGAATTAACAATAAAAGTGAAATGACTGATAATGAAATGCCAACCACTGAAATTTAATGGAAAGAATTCCCTTGGCCGGAGGAAATCGAAATCAATACAAAGGCACTTTGCCTGCCTGTAGATGTGTACTATTGCCTTTCATACTGAAAAAGTGATGTCTAGGAACCGGTGTTAATAACAGTGTTCCGGCATCGTGCTGTTCCCGTCTTAATTTTGCTCAAATCATGGTAACGAGTCACACTGTAGTGACAAGCATGTTGCATGACGTTTCCCATTCTCTTTTAATTTTGTTCCTCTTAACTATAAATTTAGCTTCACACTTGCTTCTAAAAGGCACTGTTGTCTATATGCCCAGTTATGAGGGGTTTGAATTAGTACATATGCACAGTGACAACAAAATGTTTTGAGGTCTGCGTTGTTCTGCTGTTAAATTTACATGACCCTGGAAAGATTTGAAACCTCTCTAATTTACCAAATATTTTGCTAAGTACAGTTTGTTTAAGATTATTTCTCCTGCATGATGGATCAACTACATGCAAATTCTCACAATTGAACATATTACACATTGCACAGCAATAAAAACACTCTGAATACACCACGTAGTAAAAAAGGTCAAATCTGCATACAAGCCAAGGGGCCCATCAGGCCAGAGCTTATCCCGGTTTCTGTAGCATGAAGCGACTAGGAGTATTTTTGCATTGTACTCCCCCCTGGATGGGATGCCAGTCCATCGCAGGGTTATCCCCAGCATTATAGGTCGCTGGTACCCATTTATACACCTGGGTGGAGAGAGACACTGTGAGAGTAAATTGTATGGCCTCATGACACAACACAATGTCCCTTGTCAAGGCTCAAACCCGGACCGCTCAATCCGGAGTCAAGCACACTAACCATGATGTCACCAAGCCTCCACACGCCATGTAGTACCAACTGAATTATGCCAAGCATCTTTGTTAATCTAGCCAAACAGAGTCTACTCTTTAATCACATTTAACAACAGCTATTGTAAAGCAACCATTTAGAGCACAGCCCCCTTACTCTGGAGTAACCAGCCGGATACTGGTGTGTGATAAGTGGTGGCACTTCACAGACATCACTTTTCAAAGTGAAAAGAACTAGTTCACACAAGCTAAGGCTCTTTACCAGGAACTGCAGTGGGGGGACTGGTAGGACTCACATCTTTGCTTGAGCTGATTTCTCAGTACTCCAGGTGACATGGATAATGTATGAATTTTACCACTTGAAAGTAGTAAAATGGCCGAACAGTGACCCTTAATTCTTGATTGTCTAGCACAGATTCTTTAGCACTACTGCCTTATAATGGTCTTGGCACTCCCTGTTTTTACAATCCTCTTGTTTACCCCAGGGGTCAACTTCAGGGGAAGACAGTTACACGCACAAAGCCACATTGCTTTGAAGGAATAGGCATCTTCTAGTCAGAATCAACAGCCATGGAGCAGGTGCAAGGTATGTACAATGGAATCCGGATTTTTCGAATCACCGTGGGAAACAGACATTGGTTTGAAAAAGGGTACAAGATAATTGTATGCTGTGAATAAAACGACAATGGGATTCCACTGTAATTTATCACCTTGTAAATATGATCTTAACCCACAATTACCACAACATGCATATCTACTGATCAGGATGACATAAAAGGTTTCAACTGTTTGGCCAGAACAAAAAATTGATCAGCTGATTGCAATTTCTGTTTAATAGTAAAAACTGTTGTTGAATATTGTTACAAATTATGATGTATTTGCCATACTCTACTTGGCATAATGCTTAACAACCTACAACTGTGTTTTTTCTGGAATCTTTCTGTTCGCCCATTTGTAAATATTGTGAACAAACTGAAATTTACACCAAACAGCCTCTCCTTTACATACACATTCAATGAAAAGCACAAAAGGGCATTTTTTTTATGACTCCAGGTTCGTGACTAAATAATATTTTCTTCAAGAACAAAGGCTGAATTTACCATTTTAAATTATATACACAATTCACGGTTTACATGTTAAATATTCCGTCTGAAATATCAGTAAAAACCAAGTTAATTCTTGTTCCAGCTTAGATATAGTTCAATCAATTGTCTCCTTTTTTTCATGCTCGTAAAGGGCGGACAAAAAGATCTCAGTACTCAGAGGCTTTCAATAGACAATAAACTATATAATTTGCGTCAAAGAGGACTTACGCTTAATATTAAGCCCTGAACAGCACACAAACTGTAAGAATCTATAAATAATCTAAGCGAAGGTTCGAACTACAAATTGATCAACACGGCGCCCGGCTGTACATACAAACTTAGCATTGCAGTCAAGTACGAGTGAATTTTTATCATGCCTGAATTAACATCTGGTGCTATGATTTATTCATTTTCAACCTGGCTCACTTTTAATTATAGTCGACGATACCAGGAACAAATAATATCTCCCCAGCTGACCATCAACGGGGAATATAAGTTTAAGACACATGAAAATTTCAACTAAAGAACGTACCCCTTGTAATCCTGAAAATTTAATACTTGGCTTCCGTCTTGACGATACCTGTGAGAGGAGAGTTAAGGTCAAACAATGAAGTGAATCGGTAAGTACTTTTCAAAGAAACACCACAGAATCATTGCCTTTCGTTCTACAGTATGTGGACACAGACACAAGTTTGCTGACTCGCGCTGTCTACAAATTACCTCAACAAGTTGATACTCTTCAAGCGCTCGTAAACAAGAATCCGTTAATTTCACGTGTACTAGAAGCTTGTTATTGCTTGACTCCGTTCGGGATATGAGGTTGTACGAAGTTTTCGGTTCTAAAACAATGGCCATCGCATTTTCTTTTCCCGAAACCTAATAAACTCCTACTCCATCCGCGAGCAACATCCGCTAAGAAAATTTCATTGCGCCTGTCTAATATATACCGCGGATCCAAACACTACGATCTTGACCTAATATGGTACACCGGAAGTATTCAGGGAATCATCGGAAGACATCGAGATGAGGCTAATACACGTGCTTCCGCCAATTGGGTTATTGAATGCTGAGAAAGCACTGGACACGAGAAAGGCGAGATTAGAACTCAGTGTCCTCACGGACATTTTTCTTTTTCAGGAATTACTGGTCTGTCCTTGAAACAATTTAGGATAATTAGGCATTGAACTGGAAGGGATTACTAGGCAGAATTTTGGATTTAGAAGTTTAAAACCTTTGCCTGACGCATCATCGATATTTGTGTCTTGAGTTCGTCAAGATTGCAAGCAAAAAGGCATTTGAAAAAGCTCGAACGCAAAGGGGTGGGGCACTGGGGAAAGTTTTTGAGCCACAAACGTGGCCGCTCTCGCATCGTAAGACGTAGCAAAAAACTTAACGTTTGTAGACGGACTAACTTGTACAAAATGAGACTAAGATTACTTGCTTTTGCTGGCCGATTGTCACAACCTTGGAATATTCTCCTTATTGTCTTCTAAATCTAGAGTTGCTTCCCAGAAGGCTACGAAAAAAACACTAAAACATCACGAATGCTTTCATATAATTTATTGAAATTAAATTCAAAAAAAANCAGGACATATTTTTGTATTAAATGGATGAAATAAAACAAAATGGTAGGTAGCAATACTAATACTTTTAACGATACTTTAAATTATCTTCTAGGCTGAATGATGATTCAGTACAAAAAATTAGAAATTTCACAGTGTTGTGTGTAGTCTTTTCCACAGTGTACATGTACATGTAGTGTTGCTAAAATTCTGTGCCTGTTGAAAGTCCTCTATCTTTATTTATAAGCTAATTTCTTGAAACACAAATCATTTTAGTCAGGGTTGAATGAACCAAAACAAAATGTATAAATTATGTATGTAATGATTAAACGACTGCAACATTCAGCCAGCAAGAAAGAATTAGAAATTAGAAACCTTAGGAATTAGAAACCTTTAAATACCAGACTTTTATACCTACTTGTAAGGATATCTTAAGAAAATGCCATTAACTTCCTTTCACAAAGTAACAAAAGCATTCAAAAATAATCAAGCTCGTACATACTAAATGCATTTACTTAAATGTGCTCTAAGGCGATTCAAAATGCGGTCTAACACAGCAAAACCTGCATAGGGTAATACACACACATTTTTAACACACTATTAAATAAATGCAAATTTTAGCTTCCCTTACATGTATGTCTGAACAGTGCTGTATATATAAGGCAAGATCTCCCTCCTTGTTTTAATTGTTACTTTTAGTTCCAGTTTCATTCATGAGCAAAAAGGTATTAACTTTTACACACAAAATCTTTCTTTATTGATCTTTTCTCATGACCCCCAGACACAGAGCTGGAAAAGTGTTGAACCTTGCAATCCTAGTTTCTTAGTTTAGTGAAATTTAATAAGCCCTTTCCTAGTTGCTATGGCACATACATGTAGCAACCAATTTTAGGGCTAATATGGATGTGTGGCTTATCATTCTGGGCTACATGTATTTCACATGAAAACTGGGAGAAAGTCTGTAACCAGAAATGGTGCCCTTGTTTGAGTCAGAGACGTTCAAAGACTGGTACGGCGGGGAATCTGCGTCTACTCTAACTGGGCCACTTGGAAAAGAGAACAGTACTTGAAAACAACTTAGGATAGCAATCTTTTTCTCAAATAAACCAATAACATTGAAGAATACGAAATTAACAATAGATCTTAACAAAATTGAAATTGTTTTGATCCTAATCTTTGTACGCTTTTCAGCAGTTTTGGTTTAGTTGTCGCAAAATGAGTTTTCAAGCTAAATTTATCGAGTGAGATTTACAATTATAATGATAATTTGCTGCCAAGGATTGAATCTCTAAGAGATTAAATATAACACAGAGGAGTCAATAGTGTTAAATAATGTTTTCACATCAAACAGACCATTACTTGCCGTCACAAGAAGCTACCAGTCCTTTGTTCTCAGTTTCCATTTTGATTGGTTAGTTTTCTTCCGTGTGGCCTGGTTCAAGTGGTTGCACTGTAAGATTACCTTACTTTACTTCTACCATACCTAACTCCCTTTCTTTCTTCCTCTGCCTCTTTCATCCTTTGTTGAGTCATCTGATAACTGTCGTCGGTAGCTTTGACATTGATTTTATGAGTGATTGTTCCAACAGTTCTGATGTCGCTGCTGCCTCCAGGCTGCTGAATACAGTCCATAACACCTTGCCGTCCACCAGACTGAATTGCGGAGCAATCCAGCTGAAACTGTGCTGTGTTGTCATCTCCTGAATCAGCTTTTCTTAGTGGTATTGATATTGACTGCAATAATAAAAAAAGTTTCCAAAGTAGATTTTATTTGTCATAGATACATGTGGATGTAAATTCTAGGTACATGTTATTGGATTACAGATTGAAAGATCCAGGTTCAGCGCTGGCTGAGGTCATTGGGTTGTGTTTTTGATAAAGACACTTTCATATTTAGCTCAGATTATTAACCAAGCAGGAGGTCTGTATGGCAGAACCTTGACCAAGGTTGTGAGTACAGACCGAATGCAGTGAGACCTGTCTGCACACATGACCAAGGTCAAGACCGACTAAGCTTGGTTAACAAGATGTTTGTGTAGTAAACAAGAAAAATTTAATTGTCTTAATGTAACTGGTTTGTACTAGCTGACATTTTGCTTGTGAATGGTGATGAGCTGAACTTAAATCTACCAAAGTTTGCTCGTCCTCTTTACTCTTTTCTTTCTCATCAGCCTTTTTAGCTCTTCCATTAATTTTAGAAGAAAATAGTCAACATTTTTGTGTTTAAGTTTGCAACTTTTTCACCGCAAAATGTAAGCAATCTAGATGGGAAAATCTAGACCATGGTCAATGTCAATTTCAGCCACTCAAATTCGTGAATTTGGTAGTTCCCAGCCCTTGTGAGACACAGTTATAATATAGCTGTATTTTCTATTATTATATTATAATAATAGAAAATACAGGGAGATTTGAATTAATTTTTAAGGGAAGAGTAAATGTACATAACTGGGAATTAACAATAAAAGTGAAATGACTGATAATGAAATGCCAACCACTGAAATTTAATGGAAAGAATTCCCTTGGCCGGAGGAAATCGAAATCAATACAAAGGCACTTTGCCTGCCTGTAGATGTGTACTATTGCCTTTCATACTGAAAAAGTGATGTCTAGGAACCGGTGTTAATAACAGTGTTCCGGCATCGTGCTGTTCCCGTCTTAATTTTGCTCAAATCATGGTAACGAGTCACACTGTAGTGACAAGCATGTTGCATGACGTTTCCCATTCTCTTTTAATTTTGTTCCTCTTAACTATAAATTTAGCTTCACACTTGCTTCTAAAAGGCACTGTTGTCTATATGCCCAGTTATGAGGGGTTTGAATTAGTACATATGCACAGTGACAACAAAATGTTTTGAGGTCTGCGTTGTTCTGCTGTTAAATTTACATGACCCTGGAAAGATTTGAAACCTCTCTAATTTACCAAATATTTTGCTAAGTACAGTTTGTTTAAGATTATTTCTCCTGCATGATGGATCAACTACATGCAAATTCTCACAATTGAACATATTACACATTGCACAGCAATAAAAACACTCTGAATACACCACGTAGTAAAAAAGGTCAAATCTGCATACAAGCCAAGGGGCCCATCAGGCCAGAGCTTATCCCGGTTTCTGTAGCATGAAGCGACTAGGAGTATTTTTGCATTGTACTCCCCCCTGGATGGGATGCCAGTCCATCGCAGGGTTATCCCCAGCATTATAGGTCGCTGGTACCCATTTATACACCTGGGTGGAGAGAGACACTGTGAGAGTAAATTGTATGGCCTCATGACACAACACAATGTCCCTTGTCAAGGCTCAAACCCGGACCGCTCAATCCGGAGTCAAGCACACTAACCATGATGTCACCAAGCCTCCACACGCCATGTAGTACCAACTGAATTATGCCAAGCATCTTTGTTAATCTAGCCAAACAGAGTCTACTCTTTAATCACATTTAACAACAGCTATTGTAAAGCAACCATTTAGAGCACAGCCCCCTTACTCTGGAGTAACCAGCCGGATACTGGTGTGTGATAAGTGGTGGCACTTCACAGACATCACTTTTCAAAGTGAAAAGAACTAGTTCACACAAGCTAAGGCTCTTTACCAGGAACTGCAGTGGGGGGACTGGTAGGACTCACATCTTTGCTTGAGCTGATTTCTCAGTACTCCAGGTGACATGGATAATGTATGAATTTTACCACTTGAAAGTAGTAAAATGGCCGAACAGTGACCCTTAATTCTTGATTGTCTAGCACAGATTCTTTAGCACTACTGCCTTATAATGGTCTTGGCACTCCCTGTTTTTACAATCCTCTTGTTTACCCCAGGGGTCAACTTCAGGGGAAGACAGTTACACGCACAAAGCCACATTGCTTTGAAGGAATAGGCATCTTCTAGTCAGAATCAACAGCCATGGAGCAGGTGCAAGGTATGTACAATGGAATCCGGATTTTTCGAATCACCGTGGGAAACAGACATTGGTTTGAAAAAGGGTACAAGATAATTGTATGCTGTGAATAAAACGACAATGGGATTCCACTGTAATTTATCACCTTGTAAATATGATCTTAACCCACAATTACCACAACATGCATATCTACTGATCAGGATGACATAAAAGGTTTCAACTGTTTGGCCAGAACAAAAAATTGATCAGCTGATTGCAATTTCTGTTTAATAGTAAAAACTGTTGTTGAATATTGTTACAAATTATGATGTATTTGCCATACTCTACTTGGCATAATGCTTAACAACCTACAACTGTGTTTTTTCTGGAATCTTTCTGTTCGCCCATTTGTAAATATTGTGAACAAACTGAAATTTACACCAAACAGCCTCTCCTTTACATACACATTCAATGAAAAGCACAAAAGGGCATTTTTTTTATGACTCCAGGTTCGTGACTAAATAATATTTTCTTCAAGAACAAAGGCTGAATTTACCATTTTAAATTATATACACAATTCACGGTTTACATGTAAAATATTCCGTCTGAAATATCAGTAAAAACCAAGTTAATTCTTGTTCCAGCTTAGATATAGTTCAATCAATTGTCTCCTTTTTTTCATGCTCGTAAAGGGCGGACAAAAAGATCTCAGTACTCAGAGGCTTTCAATAGACAATAAACTATATAATTTGCGTCAAAGAGGACTTACGCTTAATATTAAGCCCTGAACAGCACACAAACTGTAAGAATCTATAAATAATCTAAGCGAAGGTTCGAACTACAAATTGATCAACACGGCGCCCGGCTGTACATACAAACTTAGCATTGCAGTCAAGTACGAGTGAATTTTTATCATGCCTGAATTAACATCTGGTGCTATGATTTATTCATTTTCAACCTGGCTCACTTTTAATTATAGTCGACGATACCAGGAACAAATAATATCTCCCCAGCTGACCATCAACGGGGAATATAAGTTTAAGACACATGAAAATTTCAACTAAAGAACGTACCCCTTGTAATCCTGAAAATTTAATACTTGGCTTCCGTCTTGACGATACCTGTGAGAGGAGAGTTAAGGTCAAACAATGAAGTGAATCGGTAAGTACTTTTCAAAGAAACACCACAGAATCATTGCCTTTCGTTCTACAGTATGTGGACACAGACACAAGTTTGCTGACTCGCGCTGTCTACAAATTACCTCAACAAGTTGATACTCTTCAAGCGCTCGTAAACAAGAATCCGTTAATTTCACGTGTACTAGAAGCTTGTTATTGCTTGACTCCGTTCGGGATATGAGGTTGTACGAAGTT